TTCTGTGGCCTTGCCAAAGAAGGAGGGTGGGCTTGGAGTTAAAGATTTGATGGCATGGAACCAGGCCTGTACAATTCGTATGCTCTGGTTATTTCTGATGAAGGCTGGAGCATTGTGGGTTGCATGGATGTATGAATATAAGTGTGGCCAGGGCGATCTTTGGTCTTTGAGGGTGCAGTACAGTAGTTTATGGACATGGAGGAGGCTGCTCAAGCTGCCTGATATCATTTCACCATGGATGTCTCAGCAGGGAGGTGTCATTTTTTGGGATTCTCAAGAGATGATGGTTTACTCAGTTTGCAGAGTATGGGACACTCTAAGAAGAAAGGCACCATTTGTCTCTTGGTACAAGCTTATTTGGAGCAGCAGTTGTCCCCTGCGATACAGCCTGATCACTTGGTTGTTAATGAAAAACATCATTATTACCAGAGACAAATTATTGCAATGGGGCAAGATTCGAGATGTACACTGTCCTCTATGTGGTGTGGAAGTTGAGAGTCGTGATCATTTATTTCTCAGATGCTCTTTCTCCCTCAGACTAGCTGCACAACTGCGTTTCAGTTTTCTACATTTCCAGAATTAGGATGCAATGGTGCAGGCTCTCAATGCACAATTATGCAGGAATGCACATGCTGGGAAATGGCATGCTCTTTTGTGGTGTCTTACAGTGGCATTTATTTGGAAAGAACGGTGCAAAGTGGTCCATGGACCCCAGTCGAGACCCTGAGACAGTTGCTGAGCAAGTTCGAGCGGATCTACAGTTTTTATCTTGCGGAAATAGAAGTTTACGAGATGCACTTACAAGACTTAGTTACTTATAGAATTTTTGTTTTGAATTTTCTGTAAGTAGTCTCATATATAGGAGGTCGCAGTGATAGGCTCATATAGGATCCCTTGTGATTCCACTTCATTGTATCGGTTCTTATTTGGAATAAAGCAACTGATTCAACGGAGGAAAAAATGAAGTCTTTGTTTTAAACCATGACCAGCTTAGCAGTTAACAGGCATTACCTAATGGCTCACAGACTGGCGGCTAATAGGAATTTAAACAAAATTGTCAGTCAAATATACGATGATAATAGGAAGGTGTTTATTAAAATTTCGTTTTGTTATGTTCTGAGTTAGCACGGTGTGAATGATTAAACAAGGACTAGCATACTGTATACTTGTGGTATTATTAATTCAATTCATTAATTAAGAATTAAATTGTTCATGATGGACACTAAATAATTATTTAAGGGGTGACTTTCTTTCTGGAGTCGTATTAATTTGTCTGTATATATAAATAAATGTAGCGATTAAGGGTGCATCCAACTAGGGTGGAAATCTCGAATACGTAAAAGTGTCCTAAATTCCATATCAAATCCCAATCCCAAAATATGGAATTTCGTGATTCAAATCTTTAATATTTTGCTCTCTATCTATACATGTCAAATACGAAATATATTTTCTTGTATTTTCCTTCTAAGATAATAAAACTTGGTCATCATTAATAAATAAATAAATATATATATATATATATATATATAGAAAAGCAAATGCTTCTCATTTGCAACCCAATTACTGCTACTAGAGGAAGAAAAAAGAGGTCTGGATTGTCATGTGCTGCAGCGGTGCAGGGGTAAGCTCCAGGGGCACAGTGGGTCTTCGCATCCTGATATCAACTAGGTTCAATTCAATTCGATCACCAAGTCCTTAGTAATAATTAATTAATTAATTTGTCTATTTAGAGAAGAGGTAGCGATGGATTTGCAGGGTTCTTATCCATCTCCGCCTTCTTCCGCAAATTGGGTCCGAACTCCAGACTCGTCCGTGGTCATTAAACTAACGCTACAGTCAGCAGTTCCGTTTGTCACGTCATAAAAAAACTGACAAAGTTAACAGAGACCATCAACCAGTGACTAACAGTGAAACAATTCGTAAAGTTAGTGACGAATAAGAAAGAAAACTGATTTGAGTGGCAAACGTGAAAGATTTATGTAATTTGAGTGACCAAACGTGTAATTTAACCACATTTGTAATGTATAACAATAGTGGGTATATACTTGTTTACCCATAAAAAATCAGCTTATACCAGATCGATTAATTACAACAGGATTAATGGATTTTTAAGGCCAACTCAACATTAATAATTAGAAGAGCTAGTTAGGCCTTATTGGGTTGGGTTTTTAGGCGAAAGTGGCCAAACCCCTTCTTCTCTATACGATGGCCGACCCGTCTCCGTGACCCCCATAGTCGGACGATGCCTCCACCCCTTAGTATGAAATTTGGCTCCCAAACTAAGTCTGGAAACAAGGTGACACAACGGGGTGCTAAACGACTAGGTACCAAGCAGGATAACAAATAAGAGGTCATCCAAAAACTAAGTCTGTAAACAAGGCGGCACAACTGGGTGCCAAATGACTGTGTACCAAGTAAGGTGGTCAACGAGGGGGTATCAAGCCGGCAAGGCAGGGCTTGGTACTATGACATAGAATTTGGCTAAGTATGGAGCCAAAGGGTATTAATTCGGCAAGACAGGCTTGGTAGCCAAACAAGGCGACAGGGCACCATGACCCCAAAGGGTTATCAAGCCGACAAGGCAGGGCTTGGTACCAAGACATGAAAAAATATGAATTTGGCTAAGTATGGAGCCAAAGGGGTATCAAGCCGACAAGGCAGGCTTGATACCAAAAGACATGAAAGTTGGCTAAGTATAGAATTCCATGGCCAAGGGGCAGGGCTTGGTACCAAGACATGAAAAACATGAATTTGGCTAAGTATGGAGCTAAGGGTGTACCAGGTCGGAAAAACAGCCTCGGTACCAAGACCCCTACAAGGTACCAAGCCGACAAGACAAGCTTGGTAGCCATGCAAGGCAGCCTCGGTACCAAGACCCCTACAAGGTACCAACCCGGCAAGACAAGCTTGGTAGCCATGCAAGGCGACAGGATACCATGACCCCAAGGGGTATCAAACCGGCAAGACTGACTTGATGGCAAGGCAACAAGAGGCCTAGACAAGTACCAACTTAGAGAGTCATAAAGAAACTAAGTTTGGATATCAAGCCGACAAGACAGACTTGATAGCTAGACATCGGGTATCAAGCCAACAAGCCATGAAATTTGACTAAAACAGGGCGACTAGCTGAGGTATCAAACAACCATGGATGGATCGGCCAGGATGTCGAGCTAAGGGTGTCCATATGACGGGGACCCGTAGAGCCCCTTAGGGGGCCATGTGGAGACTAAGTCCCAAGATGGGCATGATGCAAGATACCAAGATGAGATTCTAAAAACTAAGTATGGAGACCAGGCCGACACTGTCGGCTTGTTAGCAAGGGTCTCAAGCCGACAAGATTCGCTTGATACCAAGATGACAAGTTAGTGCCATGACAGTCAGTCTAAGACTAAGTGTGGAGACTTGGGGGTAAAGGGGCCAAATTCTCGTCCTGCCTAGGTGGGTAATGTGGCCTAGCTATCAAGACGGTTCATCGAGGTGGCTAGCAAGGCGAGGAGCGTGGAGTCGTCAGGGCTGTCGAGGATGTGATCAAGACTTCATCATGGAGGCTAAGGCAAAGAAGCTCAACTCCAACCCTACTCGGCATCGAGACCATCAATTACTCACCATCCACAAGGAGAAACAAGGGCCTCCAAGGAGAAGGTTACCAACTAGTCATCAAGGCGGGACAAGAGACCCCTAGACGGTTTGGAGCAAGAGGCTAGCTAGCGTTACTACGGCGGTTGCTAAGGCAGTTACACCTGGTGGCTATAAATAGGAGAAACGAAGACGGGAAAAGGGTTTCACAACCAAACATTTGACGCACAATGTCAAACTTTATCCTTTTCTTTGCAAATTAGCCATAGCCTTAGTTTTCGGAGCTCTCACTGAACCTCCATAGGAGTAGGTGTAATTAACTTAGCTTTGTTCCCAAAAACCATCAAAAATATCAAACACCCTCGTTCAAACATTGTTCGGAGAGGAGTGGACTGTGTTAATTATCGTTGTTCAAGAAGTCAAGGTACATTTATTGAGTTTAAACACCAATTTTTCCTCGTAAAGAAAAATACTATAATTAAGCAAACTCTTTGTATAATTTAATTCGATGATTAAATAATTATGGATATTTTCCGTCGTTCAATTGTAATGGAAGTCGGTCTCCTGTTGTGTCGTTTTCATGAAGAATAATATGACACAGACTGGCGGCCAATAGGAATTTAAACAAAATTGTCAATCAAATATACGATGATAATAGCAAGGTGTTTATTAAAATTCCATTTCAAATCCCAATCCCAAAATATGGAATTTCGTTATTCAAATCTCTAATGTTTTGTTCTCGATCGATACATGACAAATACGAAATATATTTTCTTGTATTTTCCTTCTAAGATAATAAAACTTGGTCATCATTAACAAAAAAAAAATATAGAAAAGCAAATATTTCTCCTTGTGGACGATTAAACAATGACTGGCATACTGTACAGTTGTGGTATTATTAATTAAAGTCATGAAGAATTATAATTGAATATGTGAAGTCTTTGTATAATAATAATAATTATCATTATTATCATTGTATCGGAGATCAAAGAGACGCGTAGGATTGACTTGGTGCTAGTATATAAAGATAGCGATGACAGGGTGAAGGAACACAATCCAATCCATACTACCCAATCAATTCTCAGCAGCGCAGTGCAGTGCAGTGATTAATTAATTAGTTATCCTCGCCAAGCCAAGGAGCGCCAACATGCCCGTTCTAACCAAAACTTGCCGGATGGCATTGTCCGCTAACGAGGTGTGGGGAGCGATTTTTGCTGCAACAAATATATACCCGTCCGCCATGCCTAACCTGATTACAGGCATCCGAGTGACCAGCCGAGACGGTGTTACTGCCGGTTCGGTTCGGGAGATCACTTTCGGAACTGGTACGTCGCAAGCAATATTATTACTCATCATTTTAATCAAACTAACGTTTTGCTGGTAATATGTAATAATTGTATTTGTATGGCGTCGTATGTTGCAGCCACAGCAGGTATGGTCAGCCAGGCGACCGAGCAAATTACCAGGGTCGACCATGCGACTCGAACCGTCGAATCCACCTTCAACAATGATAGGAACTTCGTGGGCAAACACTTTCGTTCTGCCTCCTTGGTCGTAAAGGTGGATCCGAATAACGCCGACGATGGCCCCAACTCTCGAGGTTCCACCATCACCTGGACTTTGACCTACTCTTGGATTTCAGATACTGCACAAGGCGGTCTCAATTTGGACGTGTTCTGGAATGCTATCGAACAGGGATTCAAGGATTTGGACACTTACATCTAGATCTAGCCGTCGCCCATACTTAAGATCCGATCATCCATCATCCACTACGCACAACTACAACGCTTGATTTTTAATTTGCTTTCTAGTCTACTACTTTCTTTTTTTATCCATCTCAATGTATTATATGCACGTTGGTGTGCAGTGCTCAATAATGATATGCCCGGCAGGACCACTCTTGCTCGGTGCTATCTTTCCCTCTTTTTCTTCTCCTCCTACTTGCTCCACCTTCCTTGTTATATTATTGTGTGTGCCGGCCTACCTATCCTAATTAATTTATGGGTATTAATTATCTCCTTGCATTGCATTTTAGTTTCTCGTGCAATAACTTATAATATATTATCATTTCTACCAAAAAAAATATATAAAATATTATCATCACCTATGACGATTACAGAGATTAGAATGGACATGGGGAATTATTACGCCTTTTACGAATCTGATTTTCGAATACTTCCATTTGGAATCGGCAGTACGTCCTACCATCATCAGATCAAACTTCCTGTTATAATAAAACGATTATTTGATTGTCTCTTTATGCCCTCGGAAGACCTCTCTTCCATATATAAGCGAAGAGAAATACACCAAAGGGCATGTGTTGGCGACTTTATCATCACCGCGACACTCGATAAATTCACTACTTCGTCTAAACAACGAGGGAACACTGTGGGCTATGTAAGAAATCCGTCTGGACTATAGTAATGTGAAATTTCATAAACCATATCCGAGGTGCCGATTCAAGTCCATATAGCACTACAGAAAAACATGTTTTCAAGCAAGAGTCACGAAAGTTTTTCCGGTACATACTAAGAAGTATACTAATAGGTACAGAAAAAATCCTCCTAATTAGTTGTATTTTTCGGGGGAAAATTTCTTTTTGCTTCAAATTTATTTGGTTCCAAATATTTTCTTTGGCTCCAAAAATTTCGTTTTTGGAAGAATTGACTCCAAAGTTTCATTTGCCTTTGCAGGAAAAGTAACCCGCTTCTTTTCTAAAAATATTTGGTAAGTAAAGCGGAAAGCCCCATTATATTCATCGAAATAATTCAATAAATAAAAACGTATGAAAATAAAATTACATTAAATATATGTTACTCATCAAGTTGATGAATGAGAGAGGGCATGAATAGAATACATTTATTTTAAAAAGAGAAATTGTAAAGTGTCTTTTGGGTTGCATGAGATCGCATATTCTCATTATCGATAACTGACTTATGATTGTTTGCAATAGATAGTTCAAAATGTGCCTTAAAACTTTTGTTTCCATCGGTGTAAAAGAATTGTTTGAACCAAAGGATTATAAAATTGTATCGAAAAAGTTGTCAGCGGAGTATTTTATACTAGAGTCATAATTTAACTGTGGTTCAACTTTTCATATTGCTAAATATCACCTATCAATTTAGCTTATGATGTGAAGTTTTATGGTCTAACCGCTAGTACGTACGATCTTTCAATACAAACTTTAAATAAAAACCACTAAAATATTAACATTGTCAAATACCCCTTAAATCTCATAAATTAAAAAAATCGTATTAATATGTAGTAATTGTATCGTATGTCGTCGTATGTTGCAGCCACAGCAGTTATGGTCAGCCAGGCGACCGAGCAGATTACCAGGGTCGACCATGCGACTCGAACCGTCGAATCCACCTTTAACAATGATAGGAATTTCGTGGGCAGGCACTTTCGTTCTGCCTCCTTGGTCATAAAGGTGAATCCGAATAACGCCGACGATGGCCCCAACTCTCGAGGTTCCACCATCACCTGGACTTTGACCTACTCTTGGATTTCAGCTACAGCACAAGGCAGTCTCAATTTGGACGTGTTCTGGAATGCTTTCGAACAGGGATTCAAGGATTTGGACACTTACATCTAGATCTAGCCGTCGCCCATACTTAAGATCTGATCATCCATCATCCACTACGCACAACGCACAACTCTTGATTTTTAATTTGCTTTCTAGTCTACTACTTTCTTTTTTTATCCATCTCGATGTATTATATGCACGTTGGTGTGCAGTGCTCAAAATTGATATGCCCGACAAGGCCACTCTTGCTCGGTGCTATCTTCCTTGTGCGTGCGCCGTGCGGGCCTACCTGTCATAATTAATTTATGGGTATTATTTATCTCCTTGCATTGCATTTTAGTTTCTCGTGCAATAACTTATAAAATATTATTATCACCTATGACGATTACAGAGATTAGAATGGACATGAGGAATTATTACGCCTTTTACGAATCCAATTTTCCAATATTTCCATTTGGAATCGGCAGTACATCCTACCATCAGATCAAACTTCCTGTTATAATAAAAAAATTATTTGATTGTCTCTTTATGCCCTCTGACGACCTCTCATCCATATATAAGCGAAGAGAAATACAACAAAGGGCATGTGTCAGCGACTATGGGATATGTAAGTAATCCGTCTGGACTATAGTAATGTGAAATTTCTCAAACCATATACCCGATCGACCATGAAGAAACGAATGAAGGACATGTCACCAACCGGCAACCACAAGCAGTGGGGTGACAGGTGTTCCCAATAAGCCACAACATGCTCTTAGTAAGCATAGTAATATGGCTAAGTCTGGAAAGGGGCACGTCAACAACCATGAATAATGGTATGGGGGGCATGTCTCCAACTAGTGGACAGGGTGGCATGTCACTGACAGTGGCGTAGCCAGGATTTCGTTTAAGGTGGGTCCACCTCGAATATATACCAAACAATCAGTGATTTAGTTAGCCATAGTGTTTCAAATGGTGTTCTTTGTTAAGAATCGTTAGTATCAATACCTCGAGTTGTTGATAAGATGTTTAATAATAAATCTTATACCAACCAATAATTCATGATTTACCTAGTCTTTTGCTTTCGAATGATGTTCTTAAAAACTATTTAGTATCAATTGATCGAGTTGTTGGAAGATTTCAATAATATATTATACCATTTACTACCATGCTCCCTTATAAGAAAGCCAACTTATAAGAAATTGGTGTTTGCACAAACCTGTATACCATATACTTAAGAAAAGAGGTAGCCAAGATTCAAACACAAAACTTTTCGACCAACTATTCTCAATTAAACGCGACCTTATTTTCGATATCAATTAACTATCGTACCTAATTTCACCATTTTCCCCCGAACTAGGGTGGATCCCGGGACCCACCCTGTTACCCTCTCCCTCCGCCACTGGTCACTGACCATGAAGAAATAAGTAGGAAAAAATTATATGAATGCGCAACACACCCAAGCCACTCAAAAAAATTCTAAGTATGAGAGTGTGTTAAGGGATGAACGAAGAAGCAAGTCCATGCTTAAAAGCCCTCACGGCATGCCAAACATGAATGGCAGACAAGGGGGAAGGAATAAGACATCTCGGCACATACCAACTAGACATGGTCCCACAAAGGGCCAAGGGTGGTTATGTGCTAATTTTAGGGATCATCAAGACATAAGGGTTGACTATGGTCAAGTTGGCCACAATGGTGACCATAAGCTCTTTAAGTCCAAACACTCGTTTTTCCAACAATATAGGAAGAATAAGCATGTGTCTTGTCAGGGGGAACTAAGACAAATGACAAATCATGGTCTTGTTGATGACTCAAAGGAGTTGAAGATATTTAGTGTGCCACCCAGGATGAGGCAAGCATATCGGGCTCAACATAAGAACAACGTGTCTAATGAGATGGCTCAGGCAAAGGAGCATGAGACCCCTTGCAAGCCTTTCAAGGCAAGACAAGTTGATCAGGTACCATTTGTTGTTAAGTTGGAAAATTCGAAACCAACACCAAAGGAATTTTCTTTCCTTAAGGAGGGAAGGCATGTAGTGTATGGATGGTTGGTCTGGTTTGATTCATGGATTTGGCAGTGGGTGTCACCTTTGGCACATTGGTAGTTGCCAAAGGGTGTGGAAATCAGTGACGTCTATCACTCCTTACTATATTAATTATATAAATAATATTTAGAAAAAGAAAAGAGAGAAAAAGTGAAAATAGGCCACTCATGGCTAAAAGAGAAGAAGATGTCGAAGTAGCAAGTTTTTGTTAGACTTGTGATGAGAGGTTCTTGTCACGAATGGTAATCCACAGTAATGTGGTTGGATCCATGCCACTTACAAGGCATGAGCAAGAGATCGGGTATGTGGCCTAGAACCTTCATGGTCAATTGATCAATGGTAAGTATCTCAACCCTTACGTCCCTTCTCTTCTCTTTCGGACGTGGGGTGTCAAAGGGTTCAATGTTACCCGGGGGGGGGGGGGGAGAGGGGGCAGTGAAGCCAAGTAGATTGGTATCACACTTCATCAATAATAAAAATAAATTATGCTACTAAGGAAATGAAGAGTTAACTTGTCTTGGGAGGGGGGGGGGCAAGTACATCGCAGTCCTACAGATGGTTGAGTGAGAAAAGTATGGCTTCTTATTTTTAATCGACTTTGATAAAGCCAAAGCTTAGCTGTAGGAGGGTTTGAGAGGTGAGCCTGATACGTACGAGGTGTGAAGCTAAGTGGTTTAGTTGATGTTAACTACTTAGTCCATAATCCTTATGCATTAAGTAGTTTGGGGCATTTGTTTACCCATAAAAAATCAGCTTACACCACATCGATTATTTACAACAGGATTAATGGATTTATAAGGCCAACTCAACATTAATAATTAAAAGAGCTAGTTAGGCCTTATTGGGTTGGGTTTTTTGGTCTAAGTGGCAAAACCCCTTCTTCCCTATACAATGGCCGACCCGTCCCCGTGGCCCCCATAGCCGGACGATGCCTCCACCCCTTGGTATTAAATTTGACTCCCAAAAACTAAGTCTAGAAACAAGGAGACACAACGGGGTGCCAAACGACTGGGTACCAAGCCAGATACCAACTAAGAGGTCATCCAAAAACTAAGTCTGGAAACAAGGCGGCACAACTAGGTGCCAAATGACCGGGTACCAAGTAAGGGGGTACCAAGACATGAAAAAACATGAATTTGGCTAAATATGGAGCCAAAGGGGTATCAAGCCGACAAGGAAGCCTTGACATAAAAAAACATGAATTTGGCTAAGGATGGAGCCATAGGCGTATCAAGCCGACAAGGCAGGCTTGATACCAAAAGACATGAAAGTTGGCTAAGTATCGAATTCCTAGGCCAGGGGTCAGTGCTTGGTACCAAGACATGAAAAACATGAATTTGGCTAAGTATGGAGCTAAGGGGTTACCAGGTCGGCAAGGCATCCTCGGTACCAAGACCCCTAAAAGGTGCCAAGCCGACAAGACAAGCTTGGTAGCCATGCAAGGCGACAGGGTACCATGACCCCAAGGGGTATCAAGCCGACAAGACTGACTTGATGGCCAGGCAACAGGAGGCCACGACAGGTACCAACTAAGAGAGTCATAAAGAAACTAAGTTTGGATATCAAGCCGACAAGACGGACTTGATAGCAAGACATCGAGATTTGTCTAATAGGTGAAACACTTCTTAATCGTCTGTGATATGTTTCGTTGATCCTCCATAATTATCCAAGTATCGATCAAAATTATTATAGATTCTATATTACATTAATAAGCACAAAAAAGGAAGAGGAAGGCGGAAGACAATATGATTTTAATTTTTTGGACAAAAGTAATAAGTTCTTTTGTTTGATGAATATAATGGGGCTTTCCGCTTTAATGACCAAATATTTTTAGAAAAGAAGCGGGTTACTTTTCCTGCAAAGGCAAATGAAACTTTGGAGTCAATTCTTCCAAAAACGAAATTTTTGGAGCCAAAGAAAATATTTGGAACAAAATAAATTTGAAGCAAAAAGAAATTTTCCCCCGAAAAATACAACTAATTAGGAGGATTTTTTCTGTACCTATTAGTATACTTCTTAGTATGTACCGGAAAAACTTTCGTGACTCGTGCTTGAAAACATGTTTTTCTGTAGTGCTATATGGACTTGAATAGACACCTCCGCATTTTATTAGAAAATTAGAACCGTAAAAAAATATAATGATTATAGTTTTTTTCAATGTAAATTGTACACGACTGTACTTTAATTTAGGGAATGCATCAATAATGGAGTCTACGTCCATACCAATAGTAAACACTGTTTCAAATAAAATACTTGAGCAATCAACGAGAAATTCATCGCTCATTTTGTTGAGCAAATCAGTTCTCACATGTTTCATTCTTCATGACTTTAATTAATAATACCACAAGTGTACAGTATGCCAGTCATTGTTTAATCGTCCACAAGGAGAAATATTTGCTTTTCTATATTTTTTTTTTGTTAATGATGACCAAGTTTTATTATCTTAGAAGGAAAATACAAGAAAATATATTTCGTATTTGTCATGTATCGATAGAGAACAAAACATTAGAGATTTGAATAACGAAATTCCATATTTTGGGATTGGGATTTGAAATGGAATTTAGGACACTTTTTCGTATTCGAGATTTCCACCCTAGTTGGATGCACCCTTAATTGCTACATTTATTTATATATATACAGACATATTAATACTACTTCAGAAAGTCACTCTTAACAAGGTTGTCAACCCGCGGGTTGACCCGGACCCGGTCGAGCTAGTGGGTCAAGGGTTAATGGGTCAACCGTTTTAGCCCGGTTTGGCACAGAAATATGGAAAAAGTCATTATATTGTATTTATCCTCATAAATTATATCAAATCTCATCTAACATATGAGTTATAACATATAATAGTACACCAAAATAATATATTGTACTTAGATCCAACATATAGTGGAAATTCACACACACTTATATGACATAAATATTCAAATGTTCAACTTAGGATTTCAAAGACTGAGTTAGGCGAAAAGAAAA